GTCATATTATGGGATAGTAGTTTGGGCCCATGGAGAAATTATATTAATTTTTTAACTTGTTTGATAATTCAGATTTGAGTAGATTTGTGATTTAAATGTAATTTGTAATTGTCACAGTCAGTCAGTTCATTTCCACAGTCTAATGCAATTAATAGGGTTGAAAAATTGGGGGCCACTGAATTTTGCATTATTTATTAAATATCTATTTATCTATTTATTTATTTATTTGCATCCAAAAATATCAAATCCGTGCAAATAGTTTCCATATATAAATATCAAATCCACCCAAAATAAATAGCAACTTTCTGAAAAAACTGAAAATGTTTTTGAATCCACCTGGATCAATGAATACATGGAAAGAATGCCGAAAATATAAAAAGAATTCTGAAAACAAATTGGTTCAACATAATGAAACAAAATTCTTCAACGAACTAATGCATCTGAAACTAAATGAAAATTTCCAGCGTGTACGTGTCTAAGGGTCGGTTCACACTATAGAAATGCAGTCCAGATGCGTTCTGGATGCATTTTTGCATGTGCGCTTTTGACGTGTTTTTGGTGCATTCCAGTTAAGGCTATAGCCGAATGATGGCTACAGCATGGTTTTCCAGTTCTGGGAGGGCATCATATGACGTCCTCCCAGAACGAGCCCTCCCACGTGCCCCCTGCGGCGCGCACCCGGCGATTTCCATGATCACTGTGTCCTAAGGACACAGCTGATCATGTGATGTAGTAAAGACCAATCACAGCGGCCTTATACCATGTGATCAGCTGTGTCCAATGACACAGAGGATCATTGAGTAAATGCAGTTGCTGATTATTGACTGCACATTCCTCACGTTGTCACAGCGTGAGGAAAGTACTACAGATAACCGGCAATTCTCAGAAAACAGATGGGCACTGATGATCAGTGCCCAGCAGTGCCACCCACCTCTGCCCAGCAGTGCCACCCACAAGTTCCAAGCAGTGCCACCCACCTGTGCCCAGAGGTGCCACCCATCTGTTCCTATCAATGCCTAGCAGTACCACCCACCTCTGCCCAGCAGTGCCACCCACAAGTTCCAAGCAGTGCCACCCACATGTGCCCAGAGGTGCCACCCATCTGTTCCCATCAATGCCTAGCAGTACCACCCACCTGTGCCCAGCAGTGGCACCCACTAGTCCCCAGCAGTGTTCCCCTCTCTTTTTCTTCAATTTAAATAGGGACATGTGCATTCCAGTGCATTTTTGGTGCATTCTGATGTGCAAAAAAAAATGCAGCATGTTCTACTTTTTTTTCTGCAACTGGAATGCACTGGAACAGCAAGCACTGATGTGAACTATGACATTGACAACCATATAACCTGCTTTCTGTGCATTTTGGAAGCAGAAAAAAGCTACTGAAATGCATGTAGTGTGAACTGGCCCTTAGTCTTAGTTCACTGTTAATTAAAGTTAAAAAGCAACTAATTTACCCATAATGTTGTCTGTGTACTGCAAATTTTAGGTACTTTCCATCAACTTTTGATTGCAACAATTAAATGGAGCACCTTTTAAGAAACAGCTTTGATTTGTTCACAATTTTGATAGAACTTGCTGGTGGAATGTTTTTTGACATGTTGAATCCTTTTCATAATTGCAAGCTGTTTAAAAGGGGTTGAAATTGCCTGAAAGCTGCCACACATATGGTCATTATAATTATTTGTCCTTCCAAAAAAAAAACGGTTAATGCTTGAGAATGTTTCTGGAGTTTAATAAATATTTACAACTGGCTTAGTAGACAGTTCTCTCTTATATTAAAGAGTGGGAATTATTTTTATTTGATAGTCGTTTTCTGTATAATCCAAACTTCTTTGAAAGTCTACATTTTGACAGTCTAAATATGGACAGTTCCACTTCCTAAGATGGACATTAAGTCCATCCCAAGGGAACCATTTATTAATACACTTCAGCTGAACACATTAAAGTTTTTGACAGGAGTTATTCTTTCTAGCATTTAAAGCTCAACCCAACTTTAGACATTGAATTAATGTTTTAATCATTCTGTGTTGCCGAGGACATTAATCTGGTGCACTGTCAGCCACTTCCCTCTGGGTTTCTGGAACCATAAAAATTTGGAGCCATTGACCTTGAATGAACAAATCTAACTTGAAGCTTATTTTTGACAAGTGAATAGACGAAGAAAATGTGAAGTAACATCAGAAGGCATTTTATATTAAAAATAATAGAGTTCAGACAGAAGAACTGACAAGTTTTCAAATGCTGGATAGCAGTTTAACCCTGTCACCTGTCAGCACTGGAGCAGCAAAGATGTGCCATTCACAAGGCTTCTTTCCTGGAAGTGCTAGTAAAATGTTAAGCTCTGGAATGTTAATGCACATATGCCTACATAATTCAAATAATTTATGATGGACGTATTGAAATTTGTGTACAGACTTTATATTTAGAGTGTATCCAAAGCCAAAATTTAGGGTTTTTTTTGTTTTGGATAGTCAGTTCACTGTCAATTATTTATTTTATTTTCTTTTTTTTTGTCATTAGTGTCCTATGTGGGGAGAATATGGAAGCAAGAGTCCTGTTCTGCAATACTGCTATGGCCTTCCGGTCAATTTCTCATTTTTTAATTTTTCTAAGAATGAACCTATTTTGGCAAATGTTGTGCAGCTAAACTATATGAACATTTTGGGGGAGATTTACTAAAACGTGTGCACACAAAATCTGGTGCAGCTGTGCATAGTAACCAATCAACTTCCAGGTTTTATTGCCAAAGCTTTACTGCGCAAGCCGAAATTAGAAGCTGATTGGCTACCATGCACATATGCACCAGGTTCTGAGTGCACCAGTTTTAGTAAATCTCCCCCTTTAGGTCTCTCTTAAAGATTCTAAAGCTCTGGTATTCCTGAGTGGGCACACTGACTGTTTCCATGTATAATTTTTTTCTTGGATTTTTTTCTTTATTTCTTGGATTTATGTATCTGTACATATAAAGTAACCTCCTGGTGACAGCAATAAGAAAGAACTTAATTCTGCATTTATTAAGGTCTTGAGAATATAAATGTAATTTTACATTTGACAATACTGATTGTTGCTCAGTGATTTGCACACACATGAAATATCAAACATGTGTTATCATTCTATTATATAGGAAAATAAATGATGTATATTTTGAGTATGTGTAAATAGTACTATAAGATACTCATCACCCAACAATTACTGGTCAATGTTTTAAGGAACAAATATTCAAAGATTACCTACTGACACAACCATCTGAATAATGCTAGAAGAAAGGCCAACTTCATATAACTCTCAAACATTGAAAAAATAAATAAAACACCATCGGTTACAAAAACTGTTGGACAGTAGCACAAAGGTTAGTAATTTACAAACAAATGGCATTAAATCTAAAATGGTAGTTTTGGGGTTATAGTTATGTCCTAATAAGTGTATCATTACTAAATTCCTAGTTAGCTATCTAGAATGATTCTTGTAATATTCCTGTATAATAACAATAATATAGAACCCACAGAAGCACTCTTTTTTTCCTTCATTACAGCTAAACAGAAGTGTAAGATGCAAAGGCAGCTAGAGTAAGAATAATCCTAATGAAGGAGTTGTGCTGAAATGGCAGTGGGTATGTGAAAAAGCTGCGAAGCATGGATCAACTATTCCTGTGAAATTAGTTGCAAAAGTGACTTCTCTCACCCATATTTGCTTTCAAGTGCTGCGTAGTGATGATGGGAGTGTGTTTTTTTCCATTGGCAAAATTTCACTGAAGCGCAAACTCTCAGTTTTGCTCACTGAGCTGCTTAGTGGTGTGTCCTTTTTTGAGTTGTAAGGAGGGTATATTTAGCTTATATTCATTCATGTTCATTGTGTATGTATTTTTTCTTTGTGTATAGTCACTTTAAATTTATTTAACTTTTGTCACTGTTTGTTTTATAATTTATGTGAAAAAAGTTAAACATTAAGGCTAATGAAGGGCCATTTTGTAACACAAGAATGGGTATGAGATAGTTGAAATGATCTTCTGTATCCCTCAGATGATATTTAAAGTGGATGTAAAGGTAATAAACCTGTTACATGCAGCTCCCCCCACAGACCCCCTAAATACTCACCTGAGGCTGATCTTGATACAGCAGCAGCAGGAGCCTTGCAATTGGCTCCTGCTGTTGTCAGTCAAAACCTGTGATCAGAGTTTGGAGGAGTGGGACCGAGCTGCACTGTGTGTCTGAATAGACCAGCACACCAAAGACATGCTGGTAGGTTAATTGGCTCCTGTCTAAATTGTCCCTAGTATGTGTATGTATGAATGTGAGTTAGGAACCTTAGATTGTATGCCCCTTGAGGGTTAGGGACTGATGTGAATGTACAATATATGCATGTACAGCGCTGCGTAAATTGATGGCGCTATATAAGTACCTGAAATAAAATAAAATAAAACAGACACAAACAGCCCAGCTTCAGAATGAGCCTGCATAAATGCCCCCCATAGGAAGAGGCTTTCTATGGTGGCACTCATCGGGGGAAGGAACCAAGAAGAGAGGACCGGGACTGCTCTGTGCAAAACTATTTCGCAGAGCAGGTAAGTATGCCATGTTTGTTATTTTAATAAAAAAATCCCAAGCTTTACAATCACTTTAAAGCCCTTTGAACTTAAAAGCACCTTCTTCATTTTGCAGTTTTCCATTGAATAAAATGCATTTCACCATAATTACTTTTTTCACATCTCCAAATTTTGGGTCACAATTTTGAGAAAATGTAAACTCTCAATTTTGCTAATCCATAGCGCTGTGCTATTAAAAATATATGACATTATTAGTACTTGCTATCCCTAAAACTGTTTTAAAAGTTTTAACTATATTTTTTGAAGGAACCCCATGCAAAAAAAGAGAAGAAAAGTGTGGGCCCTTGAAAAACCAAACCCGACTTATCCAAGGATGCATCTTGGCTGTCTGGAGGGAAGGAGGCAGTAAGCATGTGGGCCTTCCTCCTGAACTTTGCCAAGCCACATATCCTCAAAATGGGGAGAGAACCTTGCCAGGGTCCTCCTACTGACAAACCATCTTGTTTTAATGTTGATGGCAAGAAGGGCCTCTTCCTCACATCCCTGGCCTGGTGGATATGGAGGTCTGTAGGAGGTGACGTATAAGAATTTTGAAGCCACTTTGAAAATAAGGGGGACCACATAAATCCAACCCACTTACATAAATTATTGAGTAAGAGGTAGTTACTCACAAAAACAAAATAAGTAGTAAATAAGCATGCCACATCTATGACAAAGTCCTAGTTAAAAAGCAAGTAATATTCTTACTCCTTAATAGTAATATCACTATTAAGTGTATGACATCATTCAGCAAGTGGTTTGCATCGAAGGACTGGCAAATAGGCTTTTTCATTTGCCTGTTCTGCAAGTGGAAAACAGTCAGAGTTCATGGAATCCCTGTAGCACCATATACACAAACCTCATCCCTACAAACAATCCTAATGCTGAAGCCAACATTTCTCATTTCAAAAACAGAAGCATGCAATAAAACAAATAAAGAAACTTCCGACTGTGGATGAGCAGATGTTACATTATGCAATAAATAAGAGTTAGTTCAGAAAGTTTTACCAAATTGTCCATATTCAAATCATTTGAATGCTTCAGTGTTTGAAATGTTTGTCATGCCAGAATACAAAATAGGTAATATGTAGATTTTCTATTTATCTGTCACATTTATCAGAGGCACCTTTTATGATCACATTGCTGTAAAACAAGAGTTGACTTTATTGACTTATTCTGATACAATGTTACTGATCACAGTTAGCAAAAACTTTAAATAAGTTTCATGATTAATGACAGACTATAAATAAATGTATTAAATATTACACAATGAATAAATGTGTGACAAACTAAGAGAGAGAGAGCACACAGAGGTAAATCACAAGGAACACAATGCACGGGCATTTATTGGGGGACTCAGAGCACAAGCAGTAGGAGTACTGGTCCACAGAACAAACAGTAGGCACAGCAATAATATTGGGGTCCTCAGGGCAGAAATATGGGACAGCAAAGGGAAGACAGTCCACTGGGCAAACAGAAAGCACAGCAAGGGAAAATATTGTCCAGGATGGCAATATGGGACAGCAAACAAGGGAGGCAGTTCACAGGACAGCCAGAGGAACACAGCAAGGGAGAATGTTCCCGCAGGATGGCAATATGAGACAGAAAAAAAGGGGGGTAGTCCACAGGGCATCCGGGAGACACAGCAAGGGAGAATGTTCCACAGGGCAATAATATGGGACAGCAAACAGGCAGTTAACAGGGCAACCGGGAAGGCAATATGGAATGGCAAAGGGAGGATAGTCCACAGGGAAAACAGAAAGCACAGCAAGGGAGAATATTCCCCAGGATGGCAATATGGGACAGCAAACAAGGGAGGTTGTTCACAGGGCAGCCGGCAAATGTAGTAAAAGATAATATAAACCATATACTGTAAATGCTGCGCTACATTCAAACTTATTTAAGTGAATGTGGAATCCAATAACTCAAATCAAAAATAGTGACAATAATAATGAAAATAAATAATATGTGCTTAATGATAACAAAATTACCAAATAAACCACCCAAACTAATGAAAAAGCACAAACTTAAATCTATACGTATGTGCATGAGAAATACACATACATATATTACATCACACGTGCACAATGTGAAGTGAAATGATGACTAAATAATAAACGCAAACTCAAAGTCCAATAATGAAATGTTGAAGGTGAACAAAACTGTAAACGGTGTTTCCAATAATACTGTAAGGTGACCACAAGTGAAACAAATCGTGCAGATATCTGGGTGTAGATAGAGCTTATGAATCCAACCACCTTCTGGATTAGCCTCTCACCTCATCACTTCGACCCTTGCGGGTCAAAGAGCAGTAATGGATCCCTCTCACAGATCCTCCAGGCACCACAGCACTCCAAAACCACTTTTCAGGATTTAGTATTCCCACTCAGGCTCTTCTCCAAGTATAGTATGTTACCAGGACATAGAAGGTGAATCTCCCCAGGGGAAACACAGATCGCAATAACAATTTCATAGGGAATCTAAACCCATGACTTGCTTCCATTGTGAGGATCTTTTAAGAGATCAATAGGAAGGATTTTCCCAACTTCCCAGGGAGTTGGGAAAATCCTTCCCTATTTGATCTCTTAAAAGATCCTCACAATGGAAGCAAGTCATGGGTTAGATTCCCTATGAAATTGTTATTGCGATCTGTGTTTCCCCTGGGGAGATTCACCTTCTATGTCCTGGTAACATACTATACTTGGAGAAGAGCCTGAGTGGGAATACTAAATCCTGAAAAGTGGTTTTGGAGTGCTGTGGTGCCTGGAGGATCTGTGAGAGGGATCCATTACTGCTCTTTGACCCGCAAGGGTCGAAGTGATGAGGTGAGAGGCTAATCCAGAAGGTGGTTAGATTCATAAGCTCTATCTACACCCAGATATCTGCACGATTTGTTTCACTTGTGGTCACCTTACAGTATTATTGGAAACACCGTTTACAGTTTTGTTCACCTTCAACATTTCATTATTGGACTTTGAGTTTGCGTTTATTATTTAGTCATCATTTCACTTCACATTGTGCACGTGTGATGTAATATATGTATGTGTATTTCTCATGCACATACGTATAGATTTAAGTTTGTGCTTTTTCATTAGTTTGGGTGGTTTATTTGGTAATTTTGTTATCATTAAGCACATATTATTTATTTTCATTATTATTGTCACTATTTTTGATTTGAGTTATTGGATTCCACATTCACTTAAATAAGTTTGAATGTAGTGCAGCATTTATATGGTTTATATTTACTTGATCACTGGTATATGATTTAATGCTAGCAGCTGTTTGGGGTTCATATATTAATTTAGTTTGTTTTAAACACACATTTGGAGCGCAGGAGGGTCACACCACTATTAGTAAAAGATAATGTTTCACAGGATGGCAATATGGGAAAGCAAACAAGGGGGATAGTCCACAGGGCAGCATGGAGACACAGCAGGGGATAATGTTCCTCAGGATGGCAATATGGGACAGCAAACCAGAGATTGAGTCAAGCACAGAGCAGAGATCCAGGCAGACAAGTGGGTTGACTCAAGCACAAAGCAGGGATCTGGGCAGCAGGGTATGGTACATTAAGGGTACAGGCCAGCACACACGGCAGCAATTGGATACAGTAAGCACTTAGTCCAGAGTCCATGACCCAATCCAGGCACAATGAGGGACAAGCAGCAATAGATACAGCAAGGGTTCAGGGACTCACGAATCAACAGTGGCCACAGCTGAGGAAGCCCATGCAACATGACGGGGAAAGCAGGTTTGGTGAGCAGAGGTTCTTCATAGGCACATCATGGGTTCTCAGAAGGCTGTGTGTCCCAGACCAAACAGACAGCAGTTGCAAGAGGAGCAGAGAGGGGAGCAGAGTCCCAGTGTCCAGGAAGCCTCATAGACAATATAGAACTACACGTCCCAGCCCATACAGAACTATTTGTCTATGCAGTTCTGTGTATCTCATAACCTCCTTCTAGGAAGACATGCAGCTGTGTGTCCATCACAGGAGTAAACTCAGAAAAGTCTGACCCTCTCTCCTTTATTATGTCGCATGTTTAATTCAACCATTGACCTCGCAGTGTTGAGGCATCTCTCTCTATCCCAAAGCAGGATACAATCATTTATGCACTTCTTCGGAGTGCAGCCTTAAGTCCTTCAGCCTGTGGAGACACAGGAACTCACAAACTAAACTATGCAGATAAGTTGACTTCCTTACACACTGCATCTGGATTAGAAATTGCCATTTTATACAACAAAATAAACAGAAAAATCCAATATTTCAGACCTCCGTTACAAAATGTATTAAATATTACATAATGAATAATACTTTGGCATATTTTAGTATATATTGGTAAATTAGAGTACATTACTAAAGCAGCAGTAAAAAAAAGTGGCCATAAATGTTAAACAAGTTGATTCGTGTAAAGCTAAATGATCATGCATTATTCACATGTATTAAACATTATTGCGTTCACTAATGCATGTTAATGAGATTTTGTAAGAAACCACCAGGTGCACACTACAGCGCCAGCATGTTAGATATAGCTGGAGGATCTATCCCAATAATATTGATGGAAATCTTCAATATTCTAAAAGGATCCCTGTGCAGAGATTCTTTTCAGGGACAAAGAAGCCAGATAGCTATCAAAATGAACTCAAACAGGAATATATTGTGATAATTGTATATACAGATTGTTAGCAGCAACAGTGCAGATAAATGTAAATACAGAGTGAAGCACAATACATTTAATAATAGAGTAATATAGAGCCAAAGAACACCCTGACTGCCTGACTATAACCAAAACAAAGAAGGAAAGCTAACTAAGGCAGACTAGTAAAGACTCAGTACTAGACATAACAAAATACTAAGTATGACAAGGTACAAGGCATAACAGGATTTAGACTGGAAACAGAATTCACAAGGGACCTAGGCACAAGTGGAGCAGAGTATCAAACAGATAAACTAACAAAATGCTGAGATGCCTTTTTGAAAGTAAAACATCGTTTTAAAGCCTCTAGCAACATGCAGCTGTTAAATAGTGTAGTCTTTTACCAGCATCTGTCAACCACTGGAAAGATTGCCAGATGGAATACAAGGAAGGATGCCACCAGCAGGTGAAACTAAATTCTTACTAAAAGCACGCACATATTAATTTAACTGTAAAAATTATGACATTCAGAATGTAGATAAATGCAATTAAAAATAAATTAACTAAATACAGCATTAGTATTTTAATTCTCATAACTCACAAACTTCTACTTTCCAGCACAAAGAAATTGTACCAAAGTCTCCTGCATTTGTGCTGCAAAGTCAATGGATAAACACTGGCCATTCATAGGAGGAGTGTCAAAGTACACTAACTATTGTAAAACATTTGTAAATTATTTTATTGTAAAGGTGTCACAGAAGAGAAGGTTAGGGCATCAGGGAATGCCTTCATAAAATATCTTTTACCCTATTAGCATTGGTTGTTTTGATGGTCTTGTGTACATTGCAATGATTCTGGTTTTGTTTGCATATGGATTATTGCTTAAATTAAAGCACTTAACAACTGACCTGACATACCCCCTTCTCTGCAATGCATATCTGTGCATAGACAGTTGCTGTGAGGATATGGTTGTTCAGCTCTGCCAGCATAGAGTTATGTGCCTCAAGGGCAAGAAGCAGCATTTTTTAAGAAAAGAAAAGGGTACTTTCCAACAAATATCTGTCACAAACCATAACATCTAGGTGGAGAGGACTAAAAAAAGATAAAAAAACGCATCAGAAATTGATTGGGCTCTAATCTCTGCTAATATAGCTGCTTCCCACCCATGGGATATACCAATACGTCTTTCCATTTTAGCGGTTATACCGGGGCCATGGCTTCAGCTGCAGTCATGATCCCAGTACCTTTTCTGTCACTCAGCAATGCTAAAAAATGTAAAAGCAATCTGAGCAGCTAAATATCCGCTGGATTGCTTTTACATGCAGCAGAAGTGGGCCCCCCTCCCACCGCCTTCTGCCATCTTCCCTGGCTCTCCCATTCCATCCTGGGACTGGGACTGAAGCTGGCTGTTCCACCAGTTTACCATAGAGATGACCTAAGAGAAGAACTTATCCAACCATCTCGATGGTCTAAGAAACTAGAAGCGACGAGGATTTTGGCACTTCCAGTTTTGATCTGATGTAAACAGGTCAATAGCGGCCTGTAAAAGCATCTGATCAAACCAATCTCAGTTTGATCAGATGTTTTTAAAGGCAGAAGAGAGATCTGGAGTCTAATAAACCCCAGATCTCTCAGTAAAGAGGACCTGTTATGGCCCATGCTGTCACTGATGTTGTTCATCCTTTGTGATAGCTACAAAGTTGATAACAAAATTAAAAAGACAATGTAAACAAGTTAAAATAAAACAAATAATAAAATATTAAAGAATTGAAGAGCCCCCTTGCTTACTTGTAGTGATGGGCCAAACATCCCCCTGTTTGGTTTGCAGTTGAACATTCAAACCTATTAAAGGTTTGACCGCAAACTTTTAACAGGGACAGTTCACTAAGCGGTATCTTACTGGATCTGAGTATGCGGTAAGATACCACACAGCTACTAAAATAACACATACGTCATATTGTTAACTCAAATGGTATTTTAGTGTGAAAACATTTTTTAATGTTTCAGCTGCCCCTTCTGACAGCTGAATGTAAAAAGAATTGCCATCAATTAAAAAAAGTAACAAAAAAACACTGTGGGCTCCCCCCATCCATACCAAGCCCTTCAGGTCTGGTATGGATTTTGAGGGGAACCCCCATAGCAAAATGAAAAAAAATGGCACGAGGGACTCCCCAAAATCCATACCAGATCCTTAGTCACGCATGCAGCCCAGCAATCAGGAAAGGGGGGACAAACGAGCGGCCCCCATCCTTCTGACAATACCAGACCACGTGCCTTCAACATGGGGGGGTGCTCTGAGGCAGGGAGGGCTCCCCCCAAAGCACCTTGACCCCTTGTTGATGCCACCACCAACCCAAAAAGAAAAACACTCTGCTCCCTATGCTGGCTCCCGCCGTATGACAGCTGTGCTAGTCTGACAATTCTTAAATATCTAAGGGGTGGAGCTACCCAGTAATGGCAACCAGGTGACCCCACTTTGATGTCATCATGCACTGTGATTGGCCAAAGCCTTGCACCTGACCTGTGGTCAGGTGCATTGCCTTGCCAATCACAATGCACTGTTAGGGCGCTGTGCATTGGGGGCGTGGTGGGCCCGTCAAACACTCTTACCATTTGTATGTTCACCAAACACATGAAATGTTCACCATACACATGAACGGGCAATGTTAGAGTCAAATTTATGTTTAAGCCCAACTCAAATTACTTTCAAAGGTGAACGTGCATGTAGGTTCCACATGTATATGTGAATGATGAAAGCACCACATACAGTCATGGCCGAAATTGTTGGCACCCTTGATATTTTTCCTGAAAATCAAGTATTTCACACAAAAAAGGTATTGCATTAACACATGTTTTGCTATACACATGTCCCTTTGTATGTATTGGAACAAATATAAAACAGAGGCAGAAAAGCAAATATGACATAATGTCACACAAAACCCCAAAAATGGGCTGGACAAAAGTATTGGCACCCTTAACTTAATATTTGGTTGCACACCCTTTGGAAAACATAACTGAAATCAGTCGCTTCCTATAACCATCAATAAGCTTCTGACACCTCTCACCCGGAA